GAACTGTTTGTTCACTATGGCCGCAAGAGGGAGGGCGTCAAAAGACTCCATGCATGCCTTGTACACTGTGTCGTTGTACTTAGCCAGACACTCGTCTTTAAATGTGAACACTTTGGTCAGGTGTCGGCACTCGTGGTTGCCTGAAAATGGCGACATCATTTTAGTGTTAATAAGAATAGTCCACAAAAGTACATGCGTTTTTAGAGTAATAAAAAAGACTTTTTATTCCAACCATTGAAAATGGGGAGGAACTTTGTATTCGGGTTTGTTAATTTTTTTAAATTAAATAATCAAATTAAATTAAATAAATTAATAAAATAACGCAAAATAAATTAAATAATCATCAGAATGGCCCGGGTTGACATCCCTCCGCAAAAATGCGTATCATACACTTCCATTATTTGAGTCTATGGAAAAAAGCGTGCCAAACAGTTTTCATCAATGAAAGTGTATGGCAAGCATTTTTTTCATAGAAACAAAAACAGCGAAATAATGCAAGTTTGTTTTCAAGTAATTTTGAATAAACGTCTTGCGGTTTTTTGCCGAATAGGAGCCCGCACTGGAGTTCCATGAAAAAAATCTATTATAATTGAGCTTCCTTGTCAGTGTCCACAAAGTGAAAACAAATCGTTTATAACCAATTAAAAATGGGTTATAATATTAATATTTTTCGAGGCAACAAAATCCTTTTTTCATCCATTATAATCGATTTTTTTTTCACTTTATTGAGATGTGAATTTCAACGCACATAAAGCCTTTTCTACGTTTTAAACTAAAGTTGGTTACGTTGGTTACTTTTTGTTCAATTTAATTTTTTTTCTGCCTAACTTTGATTTTTTTGTTACTTTTTTATGTTACTCGAAAACTGAATTTTTTTCCTTTCAACTATTTTGTTAACTTATTAGAAACTTTGAGGGGGAGGTAAAATTGGAGGTGGACCAATCCCCCTTCCATTAACCCCCTAGCGTTTATCTATGTACAACAACCCCCCTTCCCTCCCCTCCCCAGGTGGGTGAGGGGTGGTGGGAACATGTGGGGGGTTTGTTCAGGTAGGGGGCTTCACTGGGGGAGGAGCTAAGGGTCAAACGTTGGGGGGGGGGGGGGGGAGAGCTTAACGGGATCTTTTTGCAATTTGAGTTTAGATTTAGAAATCGATTAGGCCGTACACTCGCTTTGCAAAGTTTCTGGATAACCCACTTGATAAATTGATAAATGCAGAAATTCTTGCAAAATTTTGCACGAAGCGCGAAACAAAAGTAAAGTGGAAAAAAAATCCATTTTAATATGATTTCCTACTTAAAAAATCCATTATAATGGATTCCAAATGAAATATAATGCATTTTGTTTTGGCGAGAAAAAATGGATTTAAAACCATTATTAGTCCAATTTTGTGGTCTGAACGTAACATGGAAATTGATTATGTTCACAACATTTTAGATCACGAAAATCCATTATAATTGATTTTTTTTTCACTTTTCTTAAATGCAAGAGACTTTTTCTTTGCGAACTGTATGATAAGAATTTTTTCATTCGAAAATTCCAAAGTTCGCAAAAAAAACTAATTTTAATCGCTACATTTTTTGAGCATATAAAAGACATTCAGTTTTATGAGTATATAAAAACATTCATGCAAAAGTTTCCAGACATTGCCTGTAACGGTTCCAGACCTAATTTTTTACACAAAGTTTTACCAAGGTTTTATGTGATGTCTGAACCTATTTGACTTTACATAATAACAAGTAAACCTAAATCTATTCGAAATAGTCCTCATGGCCAGAAAAAAAATCTTTTTATTATAACACTGTGTGAAATTCAATAGATTAAGTAACTTGTCAGATTTCAAAACATAGTTTAACCTGAAGTTTTGCTGCCGGGTTGACCTATTGGTCGTCTCTTCTGAGAAAATTTTAAAAAAAACTTCTAATCATACAAAAAGGAAAGCGTCCAGACCTAATATCCTAAAGTTTTTCAGCCCACTTACCTCTCAACATGAGGACGTTCTTCGGGTATGCTATCTTCATAGCGTACAGAAGCAGTACACACTCTATGCTGAACATGCCTCTATCCACGTAATCCCCCAGAAAGAGGTAAGTGTTCGAACTAGCCGAGCCTCCTATGTTGAGTAGTTTGAGCAGATCATAGTACTGTCCGTGGATGTCTCCACAGATGATAACAGGAGCAGGTACTTCCAGCATAGTCGGCTCTTCGGCTAAGAGATCAGTAGCCGTTTTGAGTACCTGCAGTCCGCTTGCAAACGTGTGCTCACAGTTGTGAAAAGTGTTGTTTTGTTTGTCCCTAAATTTTATCCGATAAAAAAGTCTTAAAGTACTTAGAGTATTATTTAAATACCTTAAGTTTAAATTCATTAAAAAAGCTCTTTGTGTCAATGCATTATTAAATCGAAAGTTGCAGTTTTCGTTTCGAATTTTTTGAATACACGTCTGCCTTCAAAGCTCCGCCCTCGGACAGTCTGCCTTCTCCCTTGAGGTGGTTGCGAATCACGTCCAATTTCGGCAGACCTGACATGGAGTCGAAGATGTCGTTGGGACCCAGCATGTCTCTGGGGATGTGCTTCGTCTTCGGCTGGGGCGAATTAGGTCTGGCTCTGCTCATCCTCTTTGCCTGGATGCTGATGAGCTGGTTGTCCAAACTGAGCGGCGATGAAGAAGTTGATCTCACTGTTGCCTTCGGAGAGTCTGCAAATCAAGTTATATAATGTTTGGAAATAATAAGTTTTGATTTTTCGATTTTTTGAGTTTTTTCATTTTCGATTCAAATAATTAGCCGAGTTTTCATCAATTCCTAAATGCCATTTAAGCTGTTTCAATTTTGCAACCCTTCAAAATTTTGGAAAAAAAAAATATATATATATATATCTTGAAACTGAGCCCAAACTAATTCATTTATCGAGTTAATTGTAGAGCCGTACTAAATCAAACAGATTTTGAAGTAAGTTCTCATAGTAAAGTTTTTTGATATCACATCGTACCTGTTGACATTAGACGACAAGTTTGCTAACCGAATAATGAACCATTGCAACCTAACAAATTTTCCGACCTTGTAAAAATTTTGAATTTCAGCTTCTGGATCTTGTAAACTTTTCAGTTTACTGGAGTCATCCGTTGCGCCAATTTTAAAAAGTCAGACACATGATTTACTTGAGTTATTCTGATGACTTTTTGTGGAATGAATTCTGAAGTTAAAATAAGTTGTCTCTACTTTTCCATTACAGATTGTCCATTTCGAAGAAAAATTGCAGTAAGTTTTGGGCCAGTAAAAACACCACAATGAGAACCAATGCAAGAAAGGTTCAGTCAGCCTAGGAATGTCTAAGAGCGGGAGTGCCATGAACGGTCATGCGCTTCAATGAAAGTACGAGCAAAGCTACAAAAAAAACTGAATTTCCAACTGCCTTGTAAAGAACCTATAAGAGACCTGATTTTCTGACTTCGTTTTAACGGTCCTGGTCTATTATGTTTTTAAAAAATGATAATTTCTCAAACAGAGAAAAAATTTCAAAGCCTTGCACATAATGCATTTTGAAATGGTAATTTATTAGTTTCAAGCTTGTTACCCCAAGACTTTGATCATTCAACGTGCATCTTTTATTAGTACAATCAATTAGAAAAGTTCAAGTAGACTCATTTTACGCCTATGGTAAGTCAGATGGGTCTTGCATTTTCTGATTGAGTGGATCGGCCGACCGTCCATTAGTCACGCTATATGTTTTCAGTCGGATAGACTCTTGCAACTTCTCATTTTAACATTTATTTCAAAAAATTTCGTATTTTCAGCTCTCAATTGATATATAGAAATGCCTGATTATTAGGAAGTCTAGATAATTCTATATTTTCATCTGAAGATTTAATTTTAACACAAAATTCTGTTTTACAAAAATTTTAGGGTGGTTGGTTATCGAAGAATATGATTATTTGGTGTTAAATAGTCTGCAACCAAATAAAAAGCTGGAAGCAAATGAAACTCCCAACAGTTTGCATCTATCCAGCAATTACTACATATTTTGAATTCGTTAAAAATGAAATTTTTCAAAACCTGATTTTAGTTTGATTTAGATATTGTCTATCCAAAAAGTAGCCATTGTATCTCACATTTTTCTTCTATACTTTTTCCAATACTCCTATTGGGTTAGCGATGAGTCAACTTTAGATATACACGTGATATGAGATATGATCTCCTGTTCAACCTAAGTTTTAACCAAAGTAAAACTGTTATCTTTCAAAAAAACTTTTGTGGCTCGGACCAGAAGTATACGCTGTCCTCGTACATAACATGTCTGTGGGCTTTAGAAAACAGTTATTGATGTTAGTTTTGTTTCGTACTTTTTCATTCTATTTTTGCGTTAAGAAAAAATGCTAAAGGCATTCCGTTCCAAATTTGGGTTATTCGCCTTATTTACGAAACGAGCAGAATCTAAAGTTTGAAATAAAAAGTTCGGAATATGAACTCTTTGTCAAATGAAAAAAAAAACGTAAAAAGTGGGAAATTGTCAGGCAAAAACCAGAAACTTTGCAATTAAACTGAGTATCTTGTATCTTCTTTTTTGGGGGGTAGAAACGGGTCGGTAAGTTTTCAATGTTTTTTGATGATTGTAGTCCACTTAGGGGCGATCATGAACTTGAAGCGCTCTGCTAGTTTGACGAACGGGTGATTCCAAAGCAAAAACCCACCTAATTCTTCTAGGAGAAAACAAAGCATGGTTTTTTTTCAATTTCACAGTGGTGTTCGAAATTTGATCTCATTGAGTGGTATGATATGGAACAAGGTTGCGGAAAGGCTTACGAGGTTTCATGAAAGTGCCATGCATTTGGTTGTTTCTGAAATACTGTGAAAAATTGAAGAAATTTGATGAACTATATCGTAATTTGTCTAAAACGATAGCGATAAAAAGGATGATTTATTCGGTTGAGTCGGTTAGATTTTAGTTCAGTTCTACTTCATTAGTGCAGCTAATATCACGTTCTTTTCGGTTAAAAATCTGCCCAGTTACCAATAAATTGTGTTTTTTTTTCAGGTTTTTGGGCTAAACTTTTTTATAAGCTTACCCGAGCCGAGATTTTTCACCTAATTTGAAGCAAGATTTGAGCGATTTGAGTGGTTTTTTCAGACAATTACGCTCAAAATCTTGCTTCAAAATAAGCGGTTTGAGCGATTTTTGAACGGTTTATCTAAAAAAAAGAACGCTCAAAAACCGCGCAGGATTTTAGCGGTTTATCTAGAAAAAACGCTCAAAAACCGCTCAAATCTTGCTGGAAAACCGCTCAAACCGCTCAAACCTTGAGCGGTTTTTGAGCGGGATCTCGACCCGCGTTTGATAATTCTGTGATTGCGGAATGAAATGAGGTTTTTAAAAGTTACTATGTGAGTACCATACCATCTCTGGGTTTAACTGATGTTTTTTCACAACTAGCTTCTGAGCATATGTCCGGGGTGGCTCACTCATAGAGTAATTTCAAAGTTGGTACACCGTCTGTTCGTCACGCTATATTATATTCGGCTGCATAGATTCGTGCAACTTCTTAGTCTAATACCGATCTTTATTTTTCTCTTATATCGCCTAATCTCAATAGATCTAGTGTATACTATTATTTGCAAGCTAGATACCAGGAACTGATCTGAAGGAGAACAACTGTCTTCTGAGTTAAATTTATTTTAATCTGTTGCTGAAATATGAAAAGTTTCAGCGTTACAAATAATTGTAAGTATTAGTTATAGATCATGATTAGTTAGTTAGAAAAATACAGTTATATTTAGATAGAGATAGTTTTATAAAAACTATAATTGGATATAAATACTAGTTTTAAACTGGTTCCAACCATCCGGGGCTTAGAGAGTTTGAAGCTTTAATTTTTATTGGAGTGAAAGGTAGTTGGAGAGATTTCTTGTTTCTTTGAGTAGTTTCTTTTTGAAGCAGTGACTGCGCGAGAGAAGAAGGAGAAACAGCTTTTCAGGTTTCGGAGTAGTTGTATTCATAGAGAGAAGAGGGACAGTTCCTCGTTTTCCAGAACTTGCTCTCATATTTGCTAGGTTGTCTTGAGTAAACGTGTCAAGATTTCAGATTCATGCAAAGATGTGTTGATTTCGTTAAACTAGAGCGACACTACGTGCAAGCTGGAGTTTGACTTCTTTGTGTAAAGCGCCAAGTGACTAGGATCCGTACGTGATGTCAACTTCAATTTGACCATTGTTCTTCATCAATGGGTGTCTTTGCTTCAATATTGGATACATCATATGAATCCTGTGACGGTTGTGACTACTGCAACAAACCAATAGGTTTGCCATTCGAAAGTCGGAGTGTCGTCGAGTTATCATTTTCTTTGCTGCTCGTTCCTTTTGTTCTAAGAAAACTTTTTACTTTGCATATTTATATCTATAACTTGTTAGTGAGATCAGTTTCAGTTAGGATATTTATTAGTTGTTTTCGCAAAAGCATTTTTATTTAGTTTTGGTTAATTTAAGGAGTCGCTCACCCTCGAGCAACGCTCGTCAAAACCATGAGTACGCGTCAAAAGCGTGGTGTAGCGAGGTGGTTGAGGCCGGCTATAGAGCATGCTCAGGACGTCCTACTGGTGGATGAGGCCAGTTAAGGGAGCATAATTTTACCGTCGTTTTGAGCAGAGGCTTTTTTCATCTTTAAGTTTTTGTTCTGTTTTATCAGGTGTTTTTCTCTTTTTGTCTTTGTTTGTAACCTTTACCAACAAAAGATTGTTGTGGTTTATCTTTTGGGTGTTTTGTGTTTTCAGTGGTTTTAATAAAACTTGAAAATGGGTTTCAAAAGAAAAAATTATCCAGTTTTAAGCTGGGTTTAATCTGGTTTGGGTACTGTGGGACTTGGTTATACATGCGGTTGGTTTTTTATGGAATTAGTATGCTGCGTTGGTTAATTTAAGCTTACCTATAATTCCTTCTAACTATGTTAAGGGAAAGTTTGAAACGTGTAAAAACAAGTTAGAGCTGTTGTCAGTTAGTTCTTGAAAACTTGTATGCATTCATCAAAAAAATCTACTTGGGCAAGTTACTTGATTTTGGTGGAAAGGATTTGGGCGATTAAAAGAGAATTATTCGTTTCTAAAAAGCACACATAAAAAATTTAGTTTCTTTCAAGTTTTTTGCCAATTAATTTAATACTTTACTGCAGAACTTTTCTACAAAATTATCATTTTATTGAATTTGTTTTAAATTTCATTGCTAAGACAATTTATTTACATTGTTAGAACAAAATTTAAAAGTTGACTAAGAGTTTTTTTTTGTTCTTTTAATATTATCCTTTAGATAAGTGCCCGATGAAATCTAAAAAAATGTGGAAAACACGTGCAGAAAAGATGTGTTTCTGATTGATTTGTTTTAATGATAGTAATACAATTTCTATAAACGAGGAGTCAGGTTCAGGGAACAGTTCATTGGGGAAGTTGGTTTTTATGGCGGCGGATGTTACTAAAAGCTTAGCAAGTATGCGTACTACAATTTTTGTGCAAAGCAGTGGCCAAAGAAGTTCAAGCGTTCTGATGATATTTATTTCT